CTAATTTGGAAGTTGTGACTTTCTAGAGGTTTAATAGAGACATGTCTGCAGGGAATCAATGTTCTCAGAGAAATGGAGGGCGGGGGGAAAACATTAATAAATTTGTCTGGTAGAGCAGGATAGGAGGCATTACTGCACCGGGCTGATCAACTAAATAACATGCTTATTAAAAACAATCTGTAGGAACGCACTATCATTCCTGTTCCTATTTATCTTCTGGTCAACCCAATTGAGATTGTGCATTAAAGCACAGGCAGCATTATTACATTTGCTTTATTAAATTCTATAAACAGCACTGTAAAGTCAGAGTCAAGATATTTATAAGATAATGGCAAACAGCGGAGGCATCGAGACTTGCCTTAACAGTAACGTTTGTAGACCATAATATGTTTTTTCTTAATTGCCATTCTTACAACAGCAACTGTTTCACAAAACTGTTCCCCTAGATCTTTATTCTGTGCTCACCCTAACTTGAAACAAACCAAAACAAAACCAGAAAAAACACTCCAGCCCCTAGTTCTCTTCTGGGAGTGTGGGAAAATTATGAAAGAATTACATAACTCACAGCACTCATTAGGACATCTGAAATGGAATAATTTTAAATAAAGAGTAGGCTGGCTGCAAGGCCTTCCGTACTAGGGTTGATATTAGAAGTGCATCTCATTACATCAAATTAGTATCCAAAAATTCTGCCTAACACATAATTTAAAACATAAAACATGCTGGCTGTCAAAGGTAACGATACCTTATGCCTGCCTGCAGGCATCCATTAGTTTCAATAGGACAGACAGAGAGAGAATTGAGTGCCAGCTACTTCTCGAATGGCTACATCTAACAGACATGGAAAGCTAGGTAATATTAGAAGGAATCAAGTATTTCTTTGAGAGACAGCATGAGTCCAAACACAGGAACGGAAGCCAGGAATTCTAACCCCAACATTTATTCCCTCTGTGGCTTCACATAAATCACACCGCCTTTGCCAGCCTCAGTTTCCCAGCCATGATATTTGGATAGTAAGACAGCTTACCCTTTAAGGATGCTGTGAAAACAATGAATGCTTAGAAACTGAGGATTATATTTAGTATGTCAGTCAGTGTTCCTATTTACAAGGCATATTCTCCAAGTCAACATGAATTGAAATAGAAGCAAGATTAGCATAAAAAGTCAAGCCATACTTCTTTGGGAGTATCCCCTTATTAAAAAAGGGACAAAGAAAAGGGTGTAGAAATAACGAGGTCTAGAGTACAAACAACAAAAAAGTAAAAGCAGAGCTAAAGAAGCAAGTTAAAAGTATATTTTCGCCTATTAAAAAAAAGAGAAAAGCTTAACAGTAAAAACAAAGGGCTTTTCTGTGTTAACTTGTTAAGAAAGGAAAGCATGTCTCGGAGCAGAGAATAAAACTTCTGGGACCAAATTCTGCCCTACTTACACCCAGGCTATGCTGTAAAATTGCACAAAGACCTTTTTCTCTCCTCTAAATTGCCTCTCCAAAGAAGGGTGCCTTGCATCTCCTTTAGCCATCTATGCAAAGCAGAAGGGTGTACAGACTTCTAAAGTAAGGTAATATATCTGTGTCAGTGGAAGGGCAACACGTACAAATCAGTATTTATGTTTATTCATAGTAACCTACAGAAATGCTTCCTATAAGGTAGATGCTTAGAATCGATGGGGCATCAATGTATGCTGCAGCTGATATAGCCAGCTACTTCTACTAACAAGCAAATTATTTATTTCCACAAAAGTACGGATAAATACAATTTTACTTTTTATTCAGGGTTCCACATTTTTCTAACACTAGACAAGCATACCTTCAAACATCACTCCACTTCTGAAACCATATACGTCTAGTTTTCCATTGTGTTAAGAGCTCTGGAACCACTGGTTGCCTCATTACAATGGTAATAACTTGGTGCGGTTTTTACTTGTTTTAAATCATGGATTTCCTATTTCTGTAAAGAGAGGCATATTTTTTCATTTTGCCATCAAATCAAATAAACCCTGGGTTTATAAAAGAAGGGAATGCTTGTGCTACCTGAATGAGGACTGTACTGGATATACAGGTATAGCAGTAGCATGAGGGATTACTTTCTACATCGTACACCTGGGTAAGAAACTGCAGCCATTTATCTGGATGCAGGTACTGTAATCATAAACCATGTTTTTACAATCACAAACCATGCCTTTGAAGCCTGGATTACTAAAATGGAGTGAAACTTTAGGTCACGCTAGAAAAGTGAAACACAGAAAATCCAGAAACCTGCCTATACAATGGAAACTCAAGTCACTACTGGTTCATAATCTGCATTGGCTGCTTATTGGCATCTAGACAATACAATGTAATTTCATTTGATCTACAAGAGTTCAGAACACCCCAACATGAGAGAAGACCTCTCTTCTTCTACCAGCATTGCCAGGAACACATACCGCCACCCCCAGGGGCTCCCAGACTATAAATACAGAGACTGGTTTCTCCACAGACCGTACTTCCAGTTCCTCCATTCCCAGACCGTGCCAGACCAGCCACAGCATCCACAGAACTCAGCTGCTCAATACTGCCAAGATTAAGCTCAGGAAAGTCTTTTTAAAGGACCTGAATGACCTTTTGATGTTGAAACAAATAAGTAATTAAAAAACAACACCTGAAGGACCAACACCCTTGGATAAATCTAGGGAGATTGGGTAGAGATATACGACTATTTCCAAAATGATGAATGGCTTTGAGGCTTAGAATTTCAACTACTAACATGAATTCTTTCAAGGAAAACACAGGCAAAGTGAAATGAAACAAAGCATCATCACACTCAGATTCAAAGACAGGTAACAGGGGCTTCGTGCTCTCTGTGGGTCAACGGAACTTGAATAATACTTGAATTTGGAGATTTCCCTTTCAAACATTCTTTTTGCATCACTGTAAGATTATCAATGCAGTTTCTCATTTTGATATTTTGGCAGCAAATGCACCGTGCCTTGGTCCTATTTTAATGTTGTCACCGAAGTGGTAACAGCAACAGAAGTCACTGGGGGAAGTCAAAGCTTCTTCAGCTATGGGGTAGCTATGAAGATTTCAGCATAAAGAACTGAAGAAAAATGGAGATTACCTGACACAGAGAACAACAAAGCGAGAGTTTTGATTTCAGTGAAGACAACAGAAGAACTTTACATTCTCTCAACAAACCCCAGACACAGAGGTGATGTCAGCTACTCTGAAACGTATGCAGCAATAAAGTTATGAGCTTAAGGTCTCCCAAAAATCAAAAGCCTCATTAATACAATGAAAAGTGTATTTGTTTCTGCTGAAAAGATTAGCAACAAGTTGTACAAGAAGCATGGCATTAAAATAAAATCCAAAATCGAAGTGCTAGTGTTGACACTACTCCACTTCATACGGAAAGGTCTTGCGGCTTCCCTTCCCCTCTTAATTGCCAATACAAAGAAATTAAATAGCACTACTGTACGGCAAAAGATCGGGCTCTCCCATAGAAATCTATCCAGACATATTTTCTGTGCTTGTATAAATCTCACTGCAGTGAGATGCTCCAAATTTGTGCTACTGCTACAGGTGCAAAACTCCAAGATCTCTGCTAGATAGCAGTCCAGCTTCACTGACTGAACAACATCTACCAAGCAGCATTTCAGAATTTAGTTCAAAATTACTCATCCAATTTCACTTTCTTCAAATGCCATAAACCATCAATATTTCTTTAATACCTCTACTCCGTTCTTCCTTTCATTCCACCAGAACTGTTGCTTCTTATGGTGACCAGAACTGGAAGCGAGGTTTCGGCAGAAGCCACACACATTTCCAGTAACTAGTCCTATCCAAGATTAAGCTAAAAAAGATCCTTGCATGTCTTCCATTTGAAAATAATACAGTATGAGTATTCAACTAGTGGACTATTACGCCATTTAGTTACCTGATAGTTATAAAAAATGGCAACTATAGCACTTATTTCATTGATCCTTACAGATACCAACTCCCATGTTGACAAACTCATTGTGCAACTTCTATTTAGTAATTTGCTCACAGGCATTTACTTATTTTTATGTCTGTGCTTCAAATATGCAGTTTACACTAAACACATATACATTTCTGAAACCATAACCCGTTACACTACCATGAAATATAATACAAAGTGTGAAGGAGAATACATTTTCAGAGTTAATTACTTTTACACAGAATTTTTCAAAACATTCAAAAAAGAAAAGCTAGTTTAAGCACGGACTATAATACTGGCATTCACAGAGGTAACGACAAAATGGTGTCATCTGGGTTCAAGTCTGCTTTCAATGCAGTATCACGGAGCTGTGCCAAGGTACCAGTAACAAAC